AGGTTAACGAATGCTAAATAGATCATCAGATCTAGTTGAGCAGCTTCTAGGCAATCATCTAATTTGCCGTAGTGTTCATCAGTTGCAAACAATTCTTGTTTACTAGTTAGTGAGATACTATCTTCATCACTTTGGTATGAGAAATCGGACATGGTTCCTTGAGTCATCATCCTGCCTAATCCTCAGATAGGAATTTCTCCATCCAAGTGATGAAATTGATAGAGGAGTTGCTCATTGTCAGAGTCTTCTGATTGTGCGTTGGCAACATGGTTGCGAAGTTTGCAGTGGTTGCACGAGTATCGTCGATTCTCGTTTTCTTCGTCATTGTCGACGAGAGGAAGAATGGGTTGTCACGCAACTGTTTCTCGAAGTTCGGAACGCTGCTTTCCTTGAGCATCTTCATGGTGAAGGAATAGGTTGAGGGTAGCTGAAAGCTATTGTGTTTGTTAACAAAATGCACTACGCTAAAAGCTAGTGTAAAGATCTTTCGAGTGTTTTGAGTTTGAGAGAATGAAAGTTATGAGAGAGATAGAAAGCTATGAAAACTAACAACGAAGAGATCATCATCAGGGATCGTAGATCTGGCTTCCCGCGGGAGACTTATAAAGTGTGATAGAGTAGGTGCGGTAGATCCTACTCTTTCCACGTCCTAAAACGGAACGCGTGGAAGTTGTCTAGCTGGATCTAGTAGCGTGGAAGTCTCCACGCTGGCTAAATATCTAAGCGATGTTTCATCATCAACCTAGTATGATAGCGCGGTCATTGAGAACCCTGTCTCAAATGACTATTCACGAGAGACTCAGTCATGAGTCGAACTCAAACCCTATCTAGGATCGAGTCGCGAATAAGGCTAAGCGCCGTGTATTGCAAGATCATCGATCTTCGCAACACTATGCGGTACCTCGGAGTGCCCATTGAGACGTCTACTATGATGTTTGGAGATAATGAGACAGTTGTCAATACTGCGTCAATGCCTCATTCCAAGATCTTGAAGCGACACAATGCACTCTTGTACCACAAGACACGGGAATTTATCGCTGCGAAAATTCACCGTTTCCACCACATTCCAAGGGAGCATAACCCTGCCGATATCCTCAGTAAACACTGGGACTACTCGTCGGTTTGGTCACAGCTCCAACCCTTATTGTTTTGGAAAGGAGATACTGCGAAGATCCTCCAGACTTAGAATAAAGAAGAGTCGAAGGTCGCCAACCAGGGGAGTGCTAACGAGGCGTTTTCTCCCACGACTTAGAAGACCAGTGACTCACCCCAGTCGGAGGTCAAGGGATAGAGTTCATGAGTATCGGAAGAGCGAGCATAGTCTGCGCAGCATATTCCACACTGTGGTCCACGATGGATGCACCGTGGTCCCATTTAGCACTCATGTCTCGATCCTAACTGAGTCGAATATGCGCCATGTTTGAACCAAAAGCCGATGCCGGCTTGCGCCGTTCCATTTCTATCAGTCCGAACCTTGACAACGAAACCTAATAGACTTGATAGATCGTAATGCTCATAATATTCTCTTTTACTGTTTGCCATTGCACGTCTTCCAAAGGTCTAGTCGAAGCTAACCACGCTACGACGCCAACCCAAGGAAGGGAGATTATCACTTACGCAATAGGATTTCAGCAAACTGCCTGGAGAGGAGGCGATCTTTGTTGTTTAGATGAATTGCTCAGGGCGGTTTAAGGTTTGCAACCGTTGATTGAAATTTGGAAAATGGCGCGAACTCCGTTTGCTTCGATTACAAGTCCTTGTGAAAAAGATTCCTCTTCCAGTATGAAACGGGGCGAGGTACTACAGGGGTGGCACAAACCAGCTCTGTCTATCTCAGGTTTTCCCGCACCATCCCCAAAAGATTTGGTTAGGGTGGTTGAAAGCGTTAAAAGGCGGTGAAAGGCAGTGAAAGACGGTGAAAGTTGGTAAAGGATGTGGGAAAGCAGCCGGTAAAGCAGCCGGTTGAAGTTCGTCGAAGTTGGTCGAAGTCGGTCGAAGGCGGTTGAAGGTGGCAAACTATGCACACAAAGTGGTGTAAGGTAATGCCGGAAATGGTAAGTTGAGTTTAGCCACCCCCCTGGGCTGGAACCGTCCTCTGCATTTTTCTTGAGGATGAAAGGGCCCGAAATCACGATTCACATGTAATTCTGCTTTATATTTGGGTTTCGATTTTATATTTTGGTTTCGATTTTGTATTTAGGTTTTGGTTTGATATTTAGGTTTCGGTTTGATTTTACTAGTTATTTACCATAGTAATTTGGTTTCGGTTTTATATTTAGGTTTCGTTTTTATATTTAGGTTTCGATTTTATATTTTGGATTGGAATTGATCAATTTAATTGGATTCTTAAAATCCTGATTTCGGGCCCTTTCACTGTCCACGATCTGAAAACACGAGATTTTCGAGAGCAGCGAAAATCATCAATTGAGGTCCGGAAAGAGTGTGCTAGCTAGCTAGAACTTATTCTGTACCGGTAGGCAATGTATACTTTTTACCATTGAACCAATCGATCTACAATATCACTCCACATGATTGTCTGTGTATCAGCAGCTTCAGGGCAGGCTATCATGCATGATCTGAGACAAAAACGTGGCGCACTATCCGGCAACCACACACTGCTGTATGCATATACATGTAGTGTATTAATACCCGGTACCCGGTACTTACTACTGTTAGTACTTACTACAAGTGTACCGGCAGACCGGTACAGTACTGTAGTTGGACAATTCTGGCTTGGGGAAAAGACCAGTGAGAACTGAGAAAATGTCATATTTATTGAGATCAAATAAATAGTTTGTTTCGGACAAAATTCAAACTTTCTCTGGGATATGATGCTTTAATCAAACAAAGTTTCTGTTAATGTTTGTGAAAATCAGTTTAAAATGTTTAAAAATGTTGATCCGAAATTATTTGGTAGCCTATTTTAATGATAATTCTAGAATTCTTCAGATTGGTCATTGTTCGCGAATCCCTCCTACATGTAGTTAGTAGTGGCGTCGCATACCGGTAGCACCTACGAAGCCTTAACAAATAATGGACAGTACATGCATGCATACATGTATGACACTCGCATTTTAATAGTCTACGCTGTACTTCCGTCTCCAAGAACCTTGAATGAAAGTGGACTTAGAGGGCATACTCTCCACTTTTCAAGGTTGGTCAGTGGTCGGAGGCAAGGTGTAGTGGTTCATTCAAGCACAGCAGCAACATCAACAGCAGCAAAAGCAAAGCAAAAGCAACACCAGAAACAAAAATAGTAATAATAGACAGGACACCAACAACAGAGACCATGTCATCGTTTGCTGGCACTACAGCAAGGAACCACCGCTACGAGGCAGAGTCTGTGTACGAGGAAGAAGAGGCCATGAAACAAAGTCACCTTGCCGCGGACCCTTCATCCGAAGGTCCTACCGAAGAGTGGGCAAGACGTGAAAAGTCGTCACTTGACAGCAACACGCCCGAGTCGCCGTCCGAAGAAGGAACGGAAAGCACATCGAGTGCCTCTGCTTCAGGAGACGTAGAGCGAGCTTCACCTGCAAGCGAGGAAATTGATCAAAAGATGAAGGCCAAACCGTTGTTCCATGACGAACTGGGATCCCCGAAATCTCCGGCTCGTCTGCACCCGGAACAGGCTCACTATGGTGACGACAGTAACGAAAAGCAAGTGGATTCTCTACTAGTAGAAGAGGAGGAAACGACTTCTCTAGCAGCTGCCAAATTACCGGCGCAGCCTTTTTGCGATTCCGAGCCTGACGAGAGGAGTAGTTCGTCACTGGAAGAATACGATGGGTATCAATCAGCAGGAGCCATGGCCGAGAAACAAGACGAATCCGATGCAGAGAATAGTCCATTATTTCCAGCGGATGAAGAGTCACCCGAAGGCGCTGATGAGGAAGCCCCTGCTGAATTGGTACAGGCCACGTTGATTCGAGATGTCGATGAAAGTAGTCACGCATCCGATGTTGACCCTTTTTCGATGGACGACAGCGGCATGATGCCTCCTCCGACCGAATTGATGCGAGACAGTACTGGTTTCGTCACACTACAATCCGATTTGGCAGTCGTTGAAGCCAAACCAGTCGATCTAGCCAATTCCAAAACCATGTCTCGAAAATTAATTTGTGCCGTCATGGGAGCCCTTCTGTTTGTGATTGCCGCACTGAGTGTTGGATTTGTCGTTTCCGCAAAGAATAAAGGAGACGACCGGGACGTTGCCGACGGGGAAAATGCCGGAGCCAATAATGGCACCGAAAGTGCTCCCAACCCGGCGGCTCAAACGAGTCTGAGCCCAACTCCGGCACTGGTTCCCGTCTTGCAGCGATTGCAACAAGGTGGAACACTGCGATGTGGTGTAGTGCCGAATCCGGGTCTATTTTATACCACGACTACCCCTGGAACGGAACAAGTCGAAGCTCATGGTTTTGATGCTGCTTTGGTAGGTACTTTTACGTATTCGGTCAAACTATTGGTATGCGGCCATTTCTTTTTTCATCTCAAGTTTTCTGATTCGTTTGTTTTTGCGCAGTGCAAGGCCATTGCCGCCGCCGCCACTGGAGATCCTGAAAGGGTCGAATTTGTATCGTATGCTTTCCCCGATGTCTTGCCTGGTCTCAACGCGGGTGAAGTGGATGTTGTAGCCGCTGGACTGACGCACACCATGGAACGACAAGTCTATCATGTAAGTTCCGCTCCGTGTTTTGCAATTCGTTCGATTGGTATCTAATCCTTTTCGCAACCATCGTGGAATTTTTGACTGACTGACTGTGACAACAGACTCATTCCAGGGCTGGATTTGCTTTCACTATGCCGTACTTATACCAAGGAATGCAGCTTGCGGGTCAACCAAGCTTTGTCGAATGTGGTGACAAGGGACTCGAATTCATTGCCGCCTGTGGAGACATTATGGTTTGCGTGGTGGATCGATCCACGCATCAACAAATGCTATCCAGTTTCCTTCCAGGACAAAAACTCGTGGCAAGAGACACGGGAGGTGAACTGCGAGACAGTTTCGCCAGCGGTGCCTGTAATGTCATTGCGCACGAAGGATACACCCTAGCGGAATCGTTGGTGCGAGAAGCCGGGTATGAGGGTGACTATTTGGTCGGCCGAACCCTCTTTTCCAAGGAACCGCTCGCCATGGCCACGTCGGGAGAGGATGCTCGATTTGCAGACTTTACCAATATTGTCTTGAACGCTCTAATCGAGGCAGAAGCCAGCGGGATTACACAATCCACAGCTCAATCGATGGACGAAACAGACGCCTTTGGACCCGAGTATACCGACATGCTGCGGAACGCTGTAGCCGCAGGAGGAAACTACGGCGAACTGTATGCTCAGTTTCTAGAGCCATACAGCATGAGGCAGGGCCTGAACATGATTAACTTTGGCAATCACAGTGACACCGGACTGCTGTACTCGCATCCATTTGGTTCCATCGCAAATCTAATCGGACAACCCGGCAAGACTTTGGCGGAAATTGCAGAACGTGGAAGTCTTCGATGTGGGCTGCGACCGAATCGACCTGGCTTTGCCGAAACGGAGTTTTTGAACGAGACAGAGCCACAATTACCTCCTGCAATCGGGGAACTCAATGCCATTGGAATGGAAGCCGATTACTGCCGAGCCGTGGCCGCTAGCGCGTTTCTGGGAGGATCTAGCAAGGTGGAGTTTGTGGAGATTGCAGACCAGGAAGCTGGTTTCGCACTCCTCGCATCCGGAGAAATTGATATTGTTGCTGGAGCAACATGGAACTTCCAAAATGAGGTTCGCGTGCCTGGAGTCGAAGAGGGATTTGCCTTCAGCCAACCATACTTTTACGGCAATAGCGACAACAGGGTCTTGGAGGAGAACCTGTGCATGGCGACAAAGGAGGGTGATCACACGTGGTCCTCCTTTGTTTACTGGATCGTGGCAGCTGTTGTGCAAGCAGAGGAATCAGGTGTAGACCAAGGAATGTCTAATGGTATGCCGAACGTGGCCCTTTTCGGGTCGAACTTTGAATTGATGTTCCAAGACGCTATCTTGGCCATTGGAAATTACCACGAAATGTACCAAAAGCACATGGGGGGTCGCATTCGCAGGACTGGTCGAAATTTGTTGAATGGAAATGTTGGCCCGCAGCTGTATCCTATTCCAGGCTTGTTGAATTGAATGAGCAACTGGACTTGGTTGGAATGGATCCTCTAAGTATCACTTGCACAAGAAAAACAGTTAGAATCGAATCATTCGCGTACCGTGATGCATCTTTGCCATGAAGGGCGCACCAACAACCGAGGCTACATTGAGCCACCGATAGCTGCAGAATATTGTATTTATATATTTTTATGGCGCTGATCATGGTTAGAAGGTCTCCGCCAGTAAGTTTGCCACTACAGACAGATCTCGAACAGCCACCCAATCGTGCAGCACTGTTGTGCCGCCTGTTGCCCTTGTTATATAAACGAAAGACCAGCGCACCATCTGCATAACCTTATGTACTTATTCATTTTACTTTCAAATTAAATCTCCAAACTCCACATCCGCTTCCTTTTGTTGCAACTAGTTTGATGTTGACATGGTGACCACAACTTTTCCATGCGCATGTCCACTGGCGACTTTGGTGAAAGCAGCACGTACACCATCGGCAGTGAAGGGCAATGGAGACTCCTCGTCGATGGGCACCTTCAATGATCCTTCCTGCATCCACTCCAACACTTGCTTGCGACCTTGCAGAATATCATACGGCATAATCAAAATGTACTTGGGATAAGTTCGAGCCCTGAGGCTTGTGTACAGAGGTCGCCACGGCATGCTGGCAATGAATTTGATTCCTTTCCAAACAGTTCGGCAATCTGGCCTGGTATCATCGCCTGTCACAGCCACAAACTTTCCTCCTTGTTTTCCTGTTTTCAGAACAAATGGGGCACGGCCATAGAAATTGCCCCCGCCCACAGTATCGATAATAACATCAAACTTTTGGCCGCCTTGCCAATCCATTTCCCACCAATTCTCTTCACGGTAATTGACGACTTGATCAGCTCCCAGTGTTTTGCAAAGGTTGGTCTGTGTTGATGTGGTAGCCACAAAGGAGGCTTTGGCATGGGTCTTGGCAATTTGAATGGCCGCTGAACCTACGCCACCACTTCCACCCAGAATGAGGACACGGTCTCCCTCCTTGACATTATCCATGACAGCATTTCGTGCGGTAATTGCACTGGAACTAGCAGCACCTTCTTGGACGGAAACTTTGGATGGTTTCAGAACCACTTCATTTTCGTTGACTACCATGTATTCGGCCATGCCGCCCACGGGGGAAACTCCATTGGAGGCGACCACGCCGTCTCCCTCCTGGAACAGTTTTGATCCATTGTTGTCCACTACAACTCCGCTAATGTCCATGCCAGGAACAAAGGGGCGGGCCTCGTGAAGAAAGATGAGATTGCCGTGGACCATAATTATGTCTCCAGGTGAAAGGCTGCAGGCTTGGACCTGGACCAAGATTTCTCCCTTCTTGGGGACTGGCTTGTCCACGTTGTTATTCATGGACATGAGAGAGTCATTGCCTTGGAGAATTTCAAAGTCCTCCACAAATTCGTGTACTTGAATGGCCTTCATCTTTCTTTGTTGGTTGCTTGGCTTTTTGTTGTGCTGTCTTCTGTTTTGTGAGCCGAGAATCTATCCTTCGGAATTCCCGTCCTGTACCGGTACGGTGGGACTCACTGGAGAAGATTTTTTGTTGGAGGTCAGTGGATGCATTCGTGAAGTCCTCGCGGCTCCCAGGAAGCATTCGTGGATTGCAAGATCTTGAGCTCGTTGAGGTGGAGGATTGAGGGAGTTCGTGCATCACGGGGAGGGGTGCCCTCAGGTGCTAACTTCTACCCAGCTCGCCATGGATGCGGCACCAACTACCAGGTAGCTAGCTACGGTACCACTCCTGGTGTGGTTACATGTACATTGCCGAAAACCTCAAGTAGCTATAGCCACATGTAGGTTGCCAGTGCCAATCCAGCATTTCAAAAGGCAAGCTGAGAATCGCATTCCTCTGCAAATTTGGTTTCACTTCTCTCAAACACTGCTCCGGAACACTTCTCCTGAACACTTCCCCCGAACACTTTTAGTGTTGTATTAGTATTACTTCTGAATTATCAGTGGACAGTCTTTAGTATTTTGCAGAGAATTTTCGTTGACCATTTTTGTACCTGCGCACCGCACGGCACCGTACGAATCAAAAGGCAAGCTGAGAATCGCATTCCTCTGCAAATTTGGTTTCAATTCTCTCAAACACTGCTCCCGAACACTTCTCCTGAACACTTCCCCCGAACACTTTTAGTGTTGTATTAGTATTACCTCTGAATTATCAGTTGACAGTCTTTTAGTATTTTGCAGAGAATTTTCGTTGACGATTTTTGTACCTGCGCAGCGCAGCGCACCGTACCGCACTGCACCATACCGTACCGTACCATACCGCACCATACGAATTAAAAGCTTCAGAGATCCAGCATTCAAGGAATGCGATATTTAAAAAAGCTTCAGAGATCCAAGGAATGCTGTATAAAGTCATGTTCTTCCGAGAGCATAAAGTAAGAGCAAGTGTGCATCTGGAGGAATGTACCGCGGATCGGATTTGGACTCGCACACTCGCACCTGTGCAGTCCGCTTCCCTCTTCATTCTTTATTTCTCTTCCAGTATGATAACTTGTTTTTCGCTCTTGGGAAGGTGAAGCCCTCTGCAGCTGTGGTGGAGAGAAAAGGGCGACCGAGGTGGTTAGGCGTTAACTGCTAATGGACTAATTACCAAGCTCGATAGCATATCTGAGATGTGCTAAGATGTGCTTACCGGTGAAACTAAGATTGGAGTTATGCTTGGGTTGGGTTACGGATACTCGGAACAAAGATTTTTGGATTAGGATATTGGGTAAGGAATTTGAGTATGGGGTAAATAATTACTTGGAATGTTGAGTTGCAGATACTCGGAACGTTGGGTTACGGATACTCGGAACGTTAAGGTGAATAGTCATTAATGATGTGTAAATATTATTGTTATTGCTTATCAGGATTCGACTACTACGGAACCAGGATTTGACGACTATTTCTTCATTTTCAAGAATTAGGCAACAGAGGAGTAGGGAGCCGTGTGCGTGGTGGTAGCTAATGAAGCCTTCTGTTACAAATTCCCGTTTCATGAACTCTACCATTGTCGCGTAGTCTGGTAAACTAATTACCAGACTGACTACTAATTATCCACATTTTATTTCCGGTACTGTTGACTTGTGCATCGTTGATATTTATTTGAGTTTGCGACCATGGTGAACGGTAATTCTATTGCTGACAGGGTTCCCATAAATTTGAAGGAGATGCGGGTGTATTTGCAGAACTACTATGGTATTCCTGTTACATTGAGAGGCAAAGGGGTGCTAGGAAGGTTAAATGTTCTTATTGCAGTAAGATGCATGGTCATGGTCCTCAGAGTGGGCATCATGTGGCGGGTTGTGCTTTCGATGACCCGCAGCTAGAAGATATTGCTGTTGGTACTAGGTTTCCCCCCTAATTATGGATATACTATCATTGAGTATGAGGGAAAAGATTGTGTGTAAATGCCGTTCTTGATGGAGATAGTTCTTAAAGTAGCTTTGAGTTAATTGGATTCTCAGACTTTCAAGATTGCGTTCGTCAGGGTCTGGGTATAGACATTTTGTAGCGAGCATGAGCGACATTCACTTTGCGGTGTGTATCTAATAGAATGGGAATTGCTTTAGGAGGAGGCATTATCGACGATATTGAAGAATATGTGATGTAACCTTGACTACATTAGGCGTTGGAGTTAGGAATGGACTAGGGTTGGCATTGGAGAGCAGATTCGTCCTTCTGATGGCTGGCGATATTGTCGTCATCATCGTTGACTGTCTCTACTGTGGGCATTTCCTTGAGAGGTGGTTCGTCCATTGGAGTAGACTCTTCTGGAGTGGTCTCCCCTATCTCCCCTTCTTCGTCAGCATCTGGAAGGTCAAAAGGGCTCTGGTTCATGTCAGTAGTAGCCAGTCTAGCATCATCGCCGTCTTCGTCTCTTGTAGGCTTGACGTATATGCGTTCTGGAACTGCTCCTGCCTCGACGTCGAGCTTGAGGTTGTTGATCCCTTCCTTTGCGAGTCTGACCCTAGAATGACATATGATCTGCTTGATATCGTTTGTGAGGATCTTGAAGGTGAGTTGGTGCCCAAAATTCCAGGCAGATCCCATGAATCGTTCGCGGATCTCCGAAGACTTGTCGTGTCCTGGTTGTGCATTGTAGTTCTGATTCTTGCATCGCGGAACATAAACAATACCCTAGAACAAGAATACGAGCAGAATGTTGATATCCACGGCTTGTCCAGTAAGAACTTCAAGCAGTGGTCTCCATCCAGTTGATTTCTCTAATGTATGGTTCATAACATCACCCGATGAGACTTCGGGAGGTCTTTCCTCGGGGAACAACCTCTCTAGATCTCTTCCTCAGATCTCAGCTGGTAGTTAGGCAGTAAGGGAGCCTCAACTGGCCTTCCTCAGCAGGAGAATGGCTGTCAGTCAAGGACTTGGCCAGCGCCAGGTTGGGAGATCCCTGGTTGGTGAGATTCTCCCTTCACTGGGCTGTCAAGGCCAGCTCCTCAGAGCTGGCTGCTAATGCTATTCAACCACTACTGTTGGAATGGTTGAATCGCTACTATTTACTCTAGCATGGGCCACACAGGAACTGGTCAACTGCGAGACTACTGATATGCTATCGGGTCTCAGGTACTTTACTATTTCATTATTCTCAACTATGGACGAAGATGGGTGGAAATTCATTTTTCCAGGCAATAAGCCAGCAAGCTGCCTTAGCAGCGCTGCTACTACGAATCTAGAGCTCTTGCCCTGTAATTCATAGTCACCTATCCATTGCATGCATAATAGCCAAGCTTCAGGATCAACGTTTCACCAGTTCATGAACCAGCCGAGGTTGCGTTTGAGATGCTTCTATCTGTGTTCTGCAAAGTTTTGATGTTGGTAGTGAGGCTCAGATTGCCAATCGTTGACGCAGAGTGCACGAAGAATCTCGTTTACTCGTGCGGAAGTCTGTGCTGAGTGTCGATCCGAGATGAGCTTGTCCATTGCTCCCCTTGTTCGTATGACATCCTCAAGGGTGTTGACAAAATCTGCAGTGGAAGACATACCGAACACATCGATGACAAGTGATTTACGTCCAATAAAGATTTGAGCCATCATCTGGCCTCCGGTGCAAATGGCTGGTATGGGTGGAAAGACAGTACAGTATCCGTAGCCATGGGTTCATTGCGTTGTCATACATTATGAGCCGGGAAGGGTGACTTAATGGTCTGTTTGATGTGATGGCCAGCTTGGATATTGGATGTGTACTGGGTAGTTCGTTCAAAGGTACGGAGAATCTTCTCAACGGGTACGTGGAGAAAGAATGGGCTGAACTTCTGATAGTCTAGTGGCTTAGGAGTGGACTCGGTAGCAGGAATGATGATTTGGTCTTTAGATGGGACAGTATCAGTATCAAACGCAGAATAGACAGATTCTGGGTTGGAGACAATCTTGTAGGCTTCGAGAAGGTCCGCATGATTAACGTTCAGGGGGTTCTCATTAAGGGGTGTGATTGCTTCAACGGTGGGGGCATGATGAGGTTCACGGTGTCTGTAATGTCCTTCCTTGTGAATCGAAGGCATAATTGGGAGGTGCATCATCTTCAAGTTTGATACGATTGTACCAATCGTCATGATCACTGTGTCTGAGGTCGAGAACTTTAGGATCCCATAACTCACCAGAAGTCAGGATGACGTGGGTGAGTATCTCAAGTTCTTCGTCAGACGGAGGACACATCTTCATGCACGAATGATGAAGCCATCGTTGGTGTGGATGTACTGCCGACCACCACATAGGTGCAATACACGGCTCTTAGCCTTATTCGCGACTCGATCCTAGATAGGGTTTGAGTTCGACTCATGTTCCCGCGGGAGACTATAAAGTGTGTATAGAGTAGGTTGCGGTAGTAATCCTACGTCTCTCCACGATCCTAAAACGGAACGCGTGGAAGGTTTGTCTAGCCTGGATCTAGTAGCGTGGAAGTACTCCACGCTGGCTAAAAATCTAGAGCGATGTTTCATCATCAACCTAGTATGACTAGAGCGGTCATTGAGAACCCTGTCTCAAATGACTATTCACGAGAGACTCAGT